ATTCACCGTGTCAGAAGAGGCCTTTGCTCAGCACTCAGCAGTGGGTACTTATAGGTGTATGATGTAAATAAAAACTCACTAATTAGTCACAGATGTTTATTGTGTCTTAAATCTAGAATTGCATCCTGTGGGGGTACTGGCTCGAGCGGAGGCCGAATGACGACTTGAGGTAGCCTCGGAGCAACTTCTTGTCGGCGCGCTTGCCAATAGCCTTCACTACAGCATCGTCGACCGCTTTCTGGTCAGTCTTGCGCTGCTCTGATGGAACGTATTTCTGTAATAAAATGTTTATCATTAGTTTATTAATCCACTGTAAATATAATCCTATTTAATAAAAATGCTTGTTACATAAATTTTAAAATAATACTACAATTTCTTGTAACTATTTTTTTTTATGTGTTTTAACGTCATCTATTCTTCCATCTCTACACTGTAGTTAGCTCACTATTATAATGGTTACTTAACATCACCTTAGTAAGACTTTAATCATTTAAGTAATTACACAATCATTGTTTAATCACTGAGTATGGGAGTACTATGGTTTATAAGTTTTTCACATATAACTTTGCATTGGGCAATGCACTAGTAAAAATAAGTAAAAAGTAAATTCACAAGATTTAAGTTAATATTACCTCTTTCTTGGAGGCAAAGATGTCCTCTCCCTGCTTGCGCTTGACACTGCGTTTGACGCTCTTCTTGTTCTTCTTGAAGTACTCGTCGTTCAGGTGTTCAGGGAGCTTGAAGTCTCCAAGGTCTAGCTTGGTGGAGGTGCCGATTACATAGCGCTGGGGAATGCGCCTGAGTGGGCACGAGTTGAACTGAAAAAAACAAAATACAAAATATTTATACCTCAGATATATTGACGGTTATAGTTATCTAAATTACAGTCGATAAATTTATATGACATATCCATACTGCATACAAAATTACGATCTATACCTGAATTTATGTGGTACATAATGGCATGAAAAAAAAAAAGAAAATAGGAGGCTAGCTCAAGATGTTTTGAACCAGATGTGTACAATAACTTGCCCCAAGTATACGAGAGATTCTAGATGGAGTGTAGGCTACTCTAATAATTCAAATTTTAGGAAAGCTGTGAATACTGATTTCTTATCTTGCATACATAAAAAAGATTTCAAAATGAACTATATTCGTTTTGTTTTAAATTGGTAGCTCAACTGGTTCTTTTTACATTTAAATTGCTTATGTACCAAATAAGATCTCTGAGGCCCTGTGCTATAGGGAAATATTGCTTTACTTCAAAAGAAGATAGATATTTATCTTAATCTGACACTAATCAGTTTACAAAATCTTTAGCATTAGGGGTTATGGGAGTAAATAGAAAAAGAGAGTAAGGATACTCACAGCGAAGGGTCCAGTGACGAGCAACAGACCACTAGGCAGGATTCCTACAAGCACGACGCGCTTGCCAGCGTGACGGCCGGCGAGCAGGATGCATACTGTGCCAGGAGTGAGGGTCGGCCTTGTCCTGCGTACATGCTTGCTGAATGTCTTGTGGTGGGGACGAGTGCGGATCCTGAAGGCAAGATACACAATGGTTTAAGATTAAAAATATTTGATAAAAGGAATACTAGAATAGAATTGATGATAAATATGTTCAATAAAAAAAAAACATCTTTGGACAAAATATAGAAAGAAAATTCATCAAGGTTTCATCTGAATATGTTTGTGTTTAAAAATGCTCATTACAGGGTTGTTGCATGTACTTTCTAACATTATTTAGACAGCACTTTACATATTACGGTGATGGAAAGCATTTTGAGGAAACCTGCATCTGTAATTTCGAATTATAAGTTGGAAATTGCCAATCTGACTTTGGCAAATGTGGTGGTTGTTGCTTAATCCTACTCTGTATGAGAAGAGGTGTTTGCTCAGCATTGGGCACTTATAGGGTGATGATGATGAACAAGTTAGCGGTTTCTTGTTCCCATTGTTTTAGAGTCACATTGATGACAACATTTATGTAGACCTATACCAAGAGTAAGTTAGACTTGTACAAGAATGTATAATGAACTAGCAGTCACCCGCAGCTCTGGACTTCCACAAATAATTCAAGATCAAAATTATTCAATACTACAACTATATAAAAGAAGACAGTCGGTGGGTAGTCTTGAGAGTGGAGTCAGAAGACTATAATGCTTCTAATCAATATTGATATTGTGAAGAATATTTCGAAGATCAAATAATAAAATATCTTTGAGGTAATACTTACTTGTCCTGAGTAGGGTAGAAGGACTTTCTGCGGCGCAGGAGCACGGTACGGGTTCCTCCGTTCTTCTCACCACCAATCTGCTTGACAGCTACAGAGGGTTTCTTGGGCTTCTCTGGTTTGGGGTTCTTTTTGCCCACAAACCTGTACTTAGCCTGAAAAATAAGGATATATATTGTAAAGGAAGCTTATGCAGCAAAGTTACTTAAGTTTTAAGTGTATTTGTTACTCATATCAAAAGAACCTTTAACACATTACTATAGTCTTTAGCACAGTATTATAAAGAGTATCACTTTTCTATAAAAATGAGTGAGAGTATATATAATAAGCATAACCTAACAGGAAACCCTGATCAGGAAGTAATATACTTGCACAACTTGCATTATTAATTTTAAGGCAGTAGAACTATCCGAGATAAGACTGATAGGAAGCCTGACACGTGAAGAAGTTGGCCTGTGTTTTAGATAAACTACTTCATTCCTTTTTGCACATGGGTCACGGATTTGTTGACATGAAATGTTATTATATACTTGATTACTCATACTACCAACAAGAACACTGTTTTTTATAGTTAAGATGCTAAGAACACTATCTTACCTTCTTGTGGAACATCCTCGTCTTGGAGAAGCGAACTACTCCATTTCCCAGGTCGTAATTCCTTGATTTGCCAACTTTGGCCTTGGCTACGCCGCCTGCGGGCGCTGCAGCGGGCTTGGCCGCCGCTTTAGGCTGTGGTGGAGCCATTTAGAATCTGCACAAACAGAAACACAACCTTAACAACAAACTTACCACCTGACTACGACTTTGAGGTTATTTATGTTTTAACACTTCTCCTGACAAACAAGTGATTTAGGCACTAATAATAAGCATTTACACTGCGAATGTGTTGTTTTTACACACTAAACCCTATCCTTTCACTGTTTATTCACTATCACTCGGCGAACGTCAAACCTTTCCATGAATCTTTTTCGAGACATTGAATTTAGGCGAAACAAAAATATAACACACAATCACTTGTTTGCAGGATACTTTACTTAATTCTTACAGGTAATGGATAAAAGGAGTTAAATATTTAACTATTTCTTTGGATTTATTTTCATCGAAAACAACATCAACTCACATTCCAACCGGGATCAAAGAAAAAAGAAATTGTCATAAAGGATTTTGTCTATGGCTGCTTTGAGGAGTATTTGGATTGCTGGTTTTTTATCTCTTACAGTTTTCTGAACGAATTATAATATTTAAGTTTTAATGTTATTATTGCATAAATCCTATTTATGAAATAAATAAATTATAAATTCAATTATTTATTCACTAATAAAACCTTTTTTAGACCTTGCATTCTATTTGCGACTTTTAACATTAAATATACATACACATAATGTTTAGTTATATCTTTGATTATACTTTTGGACTTAAATACTTTGGCAAACGTATGTGTACTTTTTTATAAATTAAGAAAAAATAATTTACGTTTATCATATTTTATATCTCACAGTTGATTATTTGGAATAAATAAATAAATAAGTCTTAGCTCTATGGTCAGTGAATGAATGAACGTAACACAACTCAAATCAATGTCAAATAAACCAAATGTCAAAAAATTTAGTATTGAAAAATGGCTTCTTTGAGGAGCCCGTCTTCGCCGTCCGACGGTTATAAAAGGTTCAGTGATGATTTCGCAAACACCAGCATCAACAATTACGGCTCGAACGTCACAAGTAAACAAGAAGCTATAATTTTTATATGCACAGTAGCCGCAAGATTATGTGTACGCTTTTGTTTTATTAACAATACATTTTATGATTCATTTAACATTTTGTTTTAATTTATTTCACCTTGTTTTGAGCATTAACTGTTATGTATCCATCTATATATGATCCCACGAGATCGATTAACTGTTATTATGATGCTAAATCTGTTATATGACGCATTTGAATGACTCATAAGGCTACCTAAACACTAACCCATGCATAGAATAAACAGTTAAAAGCTGTAATCTTGCCCTAAATACGTAGATTTTAAAGCTTTTGTCCTATGTTTCTTAACACCTGCACTTATGTAGTAAGTAGAAGCTTGATTTGCATGCGATTATGATATACAAAATTATTTAAATGTATCAAAAAATTAAATTAAAATAAGCGTTAAAAAGATTCGCGTAAATATTTACTTACGAGAAAGTGACGAAATTCGAAAAATGTACTTAATCATGTCGATTGGTTTACTTGGACCATTATGATATCTAGGTTCCTATCCAGTTTCATCTAGTTGATATGCTACTGATTGGCCAAACTGGAGTACTGGACTAATCTCATTTGCAGCTCTATCAATATAATAAACATTTCCTTCTACAATAACCTTATTAATCTAATGTTTGTGGAATATTCTAATGCTAAGATTAAAGTACAATATTTGTAACTTGATTATTCCTTCAAATATGAATATTATTGGCACCTATGTTTTATAATTATTATTAATCGGCGCATTGTGAAGAAAGTTGGTAGGTCGGTACCTAATATATTACCTACTTTAGATAATACTTAAGTTCGTTATTTTACGAGTTTCGTATACAAATAGGTATTTTTATCCATATTCTACATTTTCTTGGTAATCTGCCATTTCCAAATGGTCAGTTTGAACAATGATTGATGTTTGAAAGTCGATAGACCTTATAATCGTCAGTATCAGCTACGCTGTCTGTACCACATAGATATTTTATCATTATTATCAATATTGACAGCTATGAGCACATTATCAGCCAGTTGTGATCAACATTTGGTTGAAGTGCAGTGTTTTACAGACAAATGTGTTTGATTATTCGTTCTAAAAATAGAAAAGAAATTCAGAAAACGTAATATAGTAATTGTTTTTTTTTTGGCGGCTATTTGAATATCAGCAATTTTGTCTAATTAAAAACTGCTGTTTTTATCTTTGTTTCTTAGTATGATTCAGTTATGAATCATAAAAGACAAATAAATGTATGTGTTATTGAAAATCTGTAATAGTGGTGTGCGTTAAAAATGTCGAAAGCAGTGTTGAATGTGACTGATAAAGTTTACTATGGAATCAGGGACCAGTGGTACAAACTTAAGTCATGTGAGTTTCCATAACAGCTGTCATAAATCTTAATAAACCTATCTTTCTAGATTTGGCTATTGGAGATAGAATTCTCATAGAGGTTCTGTAGATAGCTGAATATTCTACGTCGTGTGCTCAAGCATTGTATAACAATAAAAAAAATCTTATGTCAAAATACTACCTACTAGTACTAAAGACTTCTTGTCCTTGGATTTTATCTAGTTTCCGTTTATGGTTAAGATGTTTAGTCTATATATTTGTGTAGTAGGAAGGGATATTTCCAATAACCGCACGTGATCACGTCATAATCGTTCGTTGGTAGAATTCGCGCGGTCGCTCCCGCAGTCCGGATGAGGTGTTCAGGCGGATAATTTGATTGTCCAAATTGAAAATGTTTTATTTCGCGAGCATTTTGACTGTCTATGTCCGTAAGAGAAAGATACTTTTAGCGTAGACATGTTAATGTATTACTCCATGTTTGTGAAACACATAACTAAATATTCTCAGCAAATTTTGGGCGACTGCCCAGTTAGGGGTGGCGTGTTAGTCATGAAAGGATAATCGAGACTGGTTGCTATCTGAATTAAGTAGTTACATATTACGCTGTAGGTACCTACCTACCTTCATTGTTGAATTTAGAAAATACGATAAATAACTTACCTAGTTGAAAGTTTTCGAAAGCGTTATTAATATTTTTTTCAAAACATTCATACTAAACCCTATTTTTTATATTTATTTAGGATTTAGAAATGTAAATCCTTCCACATTAAAAACTCGTAGCAGGAACAACGTTTGAAACGTTAAAACTTTCAGGATCCGTCCATAACAGATCAGGCTCTAAATTTTGAAAGCGATAAAGCTCTCAACAATAGCTGTTCCACAACAGCGCATGAATTAGTACAGACTCCGGTACCTGACCCAATACCCTTCTGTAGGTCCGGATCAATTCTCCCGGTCCATTCTCGATTTCGGTAACCTCCATGCGTAGTTTGTTGACCCCCACGTTTCAAATCGTTTCAAACGCGAAAACATCGTAATGTATAAATTTTAACACGGTTTCAGTCCAATCCGTTCTGTCTTTATAGTTTTATGAAACTTACGCATATTTATTAACGTGACTAATTTAAAATCCAGTCAATCTTTAGTTATTGATACCTATGTTTTTTTTAAAAGGAGTTTTGAACGAGAATTTTATTTATCATAAACTTTGTCCTGCTCTAGGATTTTGTCCTGTGTCGTGGGTGCGTTAACAAACATACCTACAAATTAACACAGGTATAAGCCACACAGACATGGAAACAACAATTTGTTAATCACACAAAGTTTTCTATCTGATTGAACATTTTGAACCCGCCACAATCTAATTTTAATAAAATCTAAACTTTAAGCACAAGTTATTTTAATAAAACTGCATGATTTTGTCTGTACCTAGCTAAGTAATTAATTGCAAAATAACTTTTTTTTTATGTAACCCTTAACAGTAACTAAACTGTGTTGTTATTGCAAACCTACCTATCTACTCCACACAGGACGTAGCGTACTTACTATAGATTTATCGTAAAACGTTGTTGAGTATGACCAATGAATAAAAGTAACCTTATAAATAACGATTATGAAATCAATTGTTCGCAATGAACACCCGCATTGAACAAGAAATGCTTCGGCAAGGTCGAGTCGACAATCTGTGAAAGCGATTGTGTACATACAGTTATTGGCTTGGCTTCGCCGTACGATGGACCATGGTGCATTTGCAAACTTCTGCAATAATTAGCGGAACAAGCCGCCTCGGTTCAAAGGTAGTTTTATATTAATTTTATTTTACAAGGCCGTTATTTATTCCCGTTCTGCCTAATCTGTCAAACTGACAGTTACATTTGAAATCGACTTTTTACGTTTATTGGTGTTAATTAAACTTGATTTAGGGAATATTGTTAACTGCTCTAAGCTATTTATTATGTTTTATATCGCTTCAGTTTCAATAATAATGTAGTAGGTAAGTAATGCAGTAAAAATCTAAATTTGAAAAACAATATAATAAATCTATAGAAGATAACTCTAAGATTAAGAATTATTTGAAATCATATATTTTCAATCAAATAAGAACTTAGACGAATTTTGAGATACTAATAATATTACTTTCCCCAATTTCGAGTCTCTTATCATGACTCATTCTTCCGCGTAACACCGCGTGATTATTATCAGGCAGAAGCTTGGTCATTATAAGTTGTAAATGAGATTCATACATTAGGTATAAATAATTTCATTATCATTTATCACTGACGGATGCTATGTTGCATGTATGATTCATATAGGTACAAACTTATTTTATTAAAATATACTTATGTACGTAAACCTTGTTAAAATCGCTTCAAATTGTAAAATTTAATATATATATTTTTAAATGGTACATACATAATATCTATACTGTTTTGCAGCCGAGAAGGTTTATAGTAGGTATGTTAAAGTAAGGTACCTGATTCAAAAAAGTAATTAACGTAGGTTCATGAACCGCGTTTTTATTAATTCTGGTCTTTAAAGATACATTAATATTATGCCTTATGACGTATCATAAAACTTTAGTAGAGCTACCGAATGAACTGTGAAAGCGATTAATCACGAAATCACATCTTGGTCTCTGGCCGATATCATCTACCTATACAGATTAAAAATGGATGGTGGCCTATTCACAAAACTTTGCTTATGACGATCTTAGAGTCTATGCTTGTAAAAAAACAACTGTTATTAATAGTAAGTACCTAATAGCCTAGCAATTTCGCGATATGAAACTAGCCCGGTTGAATATTCTTGACCTTGACGGAATACCAAACAATGGCTTTAGGTACGTTTCTATTAAACGCTCACAATCAACCAGCTGGTAATTTTGTTAGTTGATATGACCATTCTCTGTGTACTAAATGTTTCTTGTCTCTTAATTATGACTCATCTATTAATTAACTAAGTACCTACTGCCCGTAACCTAATTTGCTCACGAGAGCTTCTTTCAAGCCGTTATTTTTGGCCGGAGGACAACAAAATGTCTAAGGGACACTTTAAACAAATTACCAATAATCAAATAACATGTATTCCAGACGTACCTAATACAAATGTTTAACGTTTCGAAAGTTGTTCGCAGTGAAAATTGTATGAAATTCTGTTCAGCAGTTTTTGAGTTTATCGTACTCAGATAGACATACGGCGTAAACTTTGTTTTAAAAACATTAAATCGTGTAAACAAGGCTGAGAAAATGGAAATCTGTACGTAGGTATGCTGTGACTAATCTGAACTAGGATAACAGATAAATATTAATGAACATAATTAGCATCTAGTCTATATTGAGTCAAGGACAATGTCATTGAAAACGAGCATAGTGTAATTTAAAAATAACTGTATTTTTACAATAGGTAGGTAGATGCAATCTCGAATGTTTTTTTTCGCGAAACTGAACTCTATGTACGTTACCTAGCTATGACAAGCTATGGCATTAATTTTGAATTGCACATAAAGCCAACAGCTTATGGCAGTCTAGTTTTGGACTAAGAGTCTCCTTAACATAACGTGTTTGGCATAATTTCTACTATGGGCTGATAAGCTGAATATTGTAAATGAGAAAACGCTAATCTCCGGTGTCTGTTAAATATCCAGGGTCTTAGTAAGGTCTTACGACATCAGCAGGATGAATAGGAGTACCTACATTACAAGGACATTGTATAATCAATCCACATATCTACAGCGATCAGTTGCTATACATAGATCGCATATTAGTTTTCTCCTCATTACATTTCCCCAAGGAGTGAACAATAAGGCAGGCTGGATTCTCCAATGGGAAGCTGGTGAAAGTTAGCCAAAGGGCTCAATACAAACCACGATACAAACTATTGGAATACAGCGAAACTTTACAATACTGCAACTTGTATAGAACTTTCCTGTATCTGACAACTTTGTCTCAAGTAGGTACCTACTCGAAAAAGGTTTCAAACCACTATCAATGTGGTTAGGTAGTTAGGTAACTACTTATAAGTTTAGTTTAGTTTTAAGGACATATAAGTAATGTATAGAGAATCATAAACCCCACAGTCAAATCCTTGCAACGGTTTTATGGAGATTAGCTTATAAAATACTTATCTTTCTGGATAAAGACAAGAAATAAACAATAAATAAATAATAATAAATAATGGAATACGATATTTTGAATCGATATCTAAATTGGATACATTTAGAATTTAACATTGGAATTACAGATCCTAAATTCTAATTAGATACACTAAAAAAAATTTAAGTTTTTTTATTTTTTTTTGATGTGAACGGTCCAATGCGACTTACCACGGCCTCACAGAAATCAACGTGTAACAAAGCCTGCATTTCACTGTTTGAGTAAGGTCGTCAGAGATTTAATCATCCCCAATCCCCAAAAGGCGAATAATCCACTTGCTACTCTGTTAGTAAAGTGATTTATCTGCCCGTTTTGCCAACCTAGGCATTCTATAAAAAAACCTAGAAAAAAGAAAGAAGTGTGCGTCATTATCGCTGCTGCCTTTTCTAGAAAAAAATTATTAATATTAATGTCTAGAAGGTATCTATGGAAGAATAATATATATTGTGCCTTTTTGTTGAAAAAAAAACCGCTTGTTTATGTCAAGCTTCCTGAATAGTGATTGTGTGCCGTTCGTGTGTCTTTCCTATCAGAGGCGACAGTTTCTTACATGAAATAAACAATAACAATTTCTATTCTAGTCTCTGCCTCGAAATATCAACTTTGTGACCTTTCACATGACCTCTTTGTCGTAGGCTTTTACCGACGCGCGACGTAGGTAGTTTTTTAAAAGAATAATTTATGTTGGCTGAATAGACTAAACAATAGGTAGGTACTTACTCACATTATTTTATTTGACAAAAAATACAATTATTTCAGTGTATAAGTAGTTTTTTTTGATACAGAAGTTTATTTCAGTTTGTCCAAAATTCTTAGTTTACAGTCTAGAATGGATCATGGCCGGTGTATGGCCTTTATGTTGACCCC